CTAAGAATTAACTATGTTAACTAAGAATTAACTATGTTAACTAAGAATTAACTATGTTAACTAAGAATTAACTATGTTAACTAAGAATTAACTATGTATGACTCTGCAAACATAAGTCTAATTACAATTAATATTATAGCATTATTTTCGCAAAATAGCTCCACCTAACTAAAGGAAGATGCATTCATTCCTTTTTCAGGTAATGTACATCTTATATTTTACTCATCCTTACCTTCTCCCTTGGATTCAATACCATTCCACAATCTTTTCTTGATAACATTCCATCGATTAAATAAAGAACTTCTGTTTCTTTCAGGAAAATTTTCTCTTGCGATATTTGACCAACCAACTTCTGGAAGATGTGCTAACACAAGATTAGATAATAATTTATCATCTTCAACTGTCCAACGACCTTTAGCTTTTGACACCATAGTTTGGAGATTGCCAACAGCTGCAGACGTATCGGATAATTCATCCTCGGGTGAGGATTCTTTAGAACTGGATTTCTTTTTTGCTTTTTTTTTAGGTTCTGATTCTTTCTTTGTTGCTTTATTTGCAGTGTTTTTGTTATTTTTTTTGATTTTGCTTTTTTGATCTAAAGTATTATTCAATTGAGGTTTGGTTTTTGAATCTCCAGTTTCTTTTTTCTCTTTAGTAGTGGTGCGTTTTCTTTTTTTGGAAGGCTGAGACTAAAAAAAAAAAACGATTAATAAATTTTTTATAATTTTTATATATGTAATTTGAAGCGAACATGATTTTTAGATTTTTAATATTTCGAATCTCGAATGTAAAATGTACTCTCAGAAGCAGGTATACCTTTTCAGTTGTGGAACTCGCCTTTTCTCCATCCTCTTCTGCGGCTTGTTTAGTAGTATCCTTTTTGATTTCATTATTCTCACCAGTTTGGTCAACTTGAGTATCAATATTTTCATATTCTTTCTTTTCTATTAATTCATTTTCATTAGAGGAATATGGTAGACCACCATCTTTACCTTCATCTACCTCCTGCTTTATTTTTCTCTTTCCCATAGTTCTTGACTTTTTTAACAAAAATTCTCAAAAAATGTTGGATTTAAAAAAACGAAACGCAAAAAGAAAAAAACACAATGATATTTTTATTTATCTATTTAACATCAGTATTTTACACTAACTCTGAGAGAGACAAACATGATATCATTGTGAACACATTAAAAATAATTATATAAAATCGGGATTTATATTTAACTTTTAATATTTACAAATCGTAAAAACTCTTGGGTTTTTTTTTCTTTTTTACTCACTCTTTTACTATTATTAACAAAGTAAAATAAATTAAACAATTCATTATTTTACTCTTAGTGTTAAAAACTCAATTATTATGGCCTCTTATCACATAATCTGAAATATAATAAGCAATCGTGTTGATAAATTTATTTATCATTATTTTTGTATCATTGATGGAGTTAAAGAAGCTCATTAATGGCTTAATCGGAGATTATTTTTTTCATTAAAGTACATATATATATTTTTTTCATATATTTATTTTAATATACTTATACTATGGATAAATTTATCTTACAAAAATAGTTACTATGCAACGTGAATATTTAATATTATATCAGATATAGTATGATAAATTTTTCAATGATATTTTCTATTAAATAATTTTCTATGTCTAATAAAAGCGGTTTCTTTTTAAATTTACTAAACTATTTCGTCGAAATATGAAAAGTTGCGTAACAATATAAAAAAATTATTTTAGTATTAGGTAAAGTGAATTGTTTACAAAAAATTAAGACCTGGCTGGTTAGTGGAAAATAAAATTTATACTTAAAAATTTAATACATAATAACAAAAAATTTTTGTTATATAAGAATACTTTTATAAGTGCACACTGTATATACACACTACTTCTCCGACATTTTTATCTCCCGATACTTTCATTTCTCCGACATTTTCTCTTACATCGCATCTAACGAGTATAAATATTTAAAATAAACTATTCAAGTTCATGAATAATAATATTTACTATTTCATTTCAAATATTTGAAATAAACAAACTAAAATTTATTAAATTTATTAATGAATTGTTTACTATTTAATGTCATTTTTTATTCGCGTTAATTTAGTCGGTTAATATAAAGAACATTGCATTTTAAAATAAGCTGCCCATAAATATTTACTATTTTAATTTCATTTTACTGGTTGACTTATTATAATCCGAATTTCTGTAATATAAACTTTGGACTATGCATTACAGTACGTATCAAATTTTCGATCATCCTAAGTTTTATAAATATTTGTATGATCAAAAAAAATGTAGTGGAGCATAATGGAAGTTTGTTTTTATTGGCCGAATGTTTGTCATGTATGTTACACAAATTGAAGATCATTCCGCGCAAATCACATAATTGACATATTTTATTAACCAATAAAATGTCAAATAATTTATCACGTGCATAATTACTTCGCATTTCGCTTCATAACGGTAAAGAGCGTATTCACATAATATACAAAACTAGAACTGAGGAAAGACCCATGCAATACAGTAATTAGCCAAAACATTAAAATAGATAACTAATTATTAACATAAGCAAATAGATAGGCCAATTCTATTATATAGTGTGACTCCGGAATTCGGCGAGTCTGTCGCTAAACTAATCCAACTCTCGCGTAACCTACGGCGGCTAAGTCGAAATAGGCGTGTTAGATTTGGCTGGTGGTTTATCCGTAGGTAAGTAATTGTCTCTTCTCTTTTAGTCCTTCCTTCTTTCTATTCTTTTACTAACTATTGTCCTTCTCTTGTCTACCTCAACCCGGGATTACTCTACGTCGAATCGGGGTTGGAACTCTCCTATTACGTTACGGTTTGGTCACGTGACTTACGGCGAGCGATCGACCTGTGGTTTTGGTGATTTATGGACGAACAGTTGGAATAACAGCGGGATTAACGATAGTTTATTAGTTTGTATAGGGTGCTACTTTCACTTTTATTAAGGGTCAGGTATTTACTGGTACTGGAAGATTATTTTGTATTAGGGACGACTCTCTCTTCCCTGGGGCCGTAATGCCCTTTATTTATAATAAACGTCTTATTTACATTCGTAATCAATTTATGCCATAAATGCACAATATTCCTTATGCTCAATATATTAACTAAATGTAATAAAAGGCCGATATGTCATTTAACGCATATATGGCCGAAGTAGCAGAAGCGACATAAGTACCATAAGTACCATAAGTAACATTTCCGTTACTTTGCCCGTGACCTTGGATCGGGTAAAGATTGTCACCCTGATTCGGACACCCGTGATCCCAAAAATCGGGCTCACAATAGCATT